ATACATTATATATTCCTTTTTCTTTCTTAAGGACACTATCTTATTATTACACCAAATCACATATTGAATTGAATCTATTATTTATTTCTATTTATGTATTTTATTTCAGCTTTGTTTTTTTGTTTTTTAGCTCAACACTATTTCCTTTCTTTATATAAATTTAGTGGTGGAACATGTATACGGGTGCTTACTGCTTCCTATTTTTTGTTTTAGTTGTAGTGTAGGTTTGTGTTTGTTTGTGTGGCAGCGCATAAGACTTTTACCATTATTGTTCATCATCCTTTAAGAGGGGTTAGCTCTTGAGGAAGATCTCTCGACGAAACTCAAAGCAGAAATTATGTCAGAAGCTGGGCCCGGAACCAAGAAGAAGTGCATGCTGTATAGACTCAGTTGGTTTATCAACTAAACTGTGTGGGATATTTTTTTTTTTTTTTTAAAACGCTCATTTTTGAGGTATATGTTTGTGTTCATGTGTTGAAGTATAATATTTTGCATAAGAATAATAGTGAACGATTATATTTTATAAAATTAATTAAAATGCATATTCTGCTTTTCAAACCATGTGGATTTATTATTTTTTGCATTGGAGCCTGTAAAGAATTTAAACCATGATCAGGGGTGCAATGCACATGCTCCTGCAGACTATTCCTCTAGCCCCAGGTATGGACGTTTAGTTATGGAGCTGGAGGAAGTCATCAATGGCCTATGTGTGTGGTGATGTCATCGCACTTCTTCTCCATTGAGAACTACGAATCCCTCTTCTGTGGTTGTCTTCTTTTCACAGATCTGTGTGTATGGGTCTGTGAATAGATAATGCCTCTGTGGGTAGAGCCACATAGAGCTGCAATGAATGCAAAAAAAAATATTCTAGGGGGAGAAGAACCCCAGGATTCAGGTAAGAGGTGGGATGGTTTGAGGATGGATAATTGTATAATGGCACCATGTTTCATGTATCATGAAACATGGTCAGAAAAGTGAAATTAGCATTTAAACAGCTTCATTAGCAAATATACACTGTCCTAATCTCCCTCCATGATGGTTGGAAGTTGAAAGCATATTAGGGAACAATTGTCAACCAAATAAATAATATGATTACACAAAAAGCATGCTGCCTCTCTTTTAGTAAAGTATACATAAACCTTTTTCTGTGTGTTTGCAGCCCCTACACCTGTAATCCTGGGAATTCAACTGAGATGGATTTGCAAAGGTCTGAGACCAATTTAACATTAAAATAGCTGTTTTTACCTTTATTTTTAATCTATTTTTGCATCTCAGTGTTTCTGATCTTCTCTAATTTTTTTCAACTATTTCCTGTCTACATGCAATCACTCCAGCATCAGCTGAATATAAGTGTTGTAGACTGGCTTTGTCATAGTGACAATAGTGGACCATGCAACATGTTTCAATGTGGCTGCTTTGGTGCATGTGACAGGATGACAATGCAGGAGCACAACAGGGAGACAGTTGTTGCCCCCTAACAGAAATTGCCTGAACAAGGACCTTCATTGTATGACTCTTAGGATTTATTTTAATGAAAGCTGCAGAAACAATTGAGTACTGTCCGTGATACTTTTTTTATTTGCACTAACATACAATTTTGAGGACAAGCTTTCGGGGAATGTCCCCTTCTTCAAGGTCTAAGCAGTACTACTCACAAAGTTAGCAGAATGTTAGAAGAGATGAAAGAAAAAAAAAAAAAAAGAAGGCTAGAGATAAGATGCAGTCAAAGCGAGGGGGGGGGGGGGATACTACACTCACACAGAGGGAGTCAAGCTACAGCTAATAGTCATAAAAATGTCGGATAATGATTGAGGAATCCCATGTCCAAATTAAGGCCCTTATCTCTTGTGTCAAACAGAATTATCATTCTTAGTTCAAAAGTTTTTCTTTACTGAATGGATTTGAAATTTCCTTTAAGTACTAAAACATTGAGGTCTCCCATCGTGTGGCCTGGTTGTGCAAAATGGTGTCCTACAGGTGTGCAGAGGTCATCTTCTTTATGTTCTTTGATGGTATGTCTGTGCAAATTCATCCTTGTTTGCAACTTCTGTCCTGTTTCGCCAACATAAGATCCTTTGAAAGCTGCATAATTAACAGATTGGAAACAACTTTTCAAATTACATTAACATATTAAGGTTCATATAAATCTTTACAGATTGGGTTTGGCTATACTTTATGATTTCATATCTAAACTATTATTTTTTATTACCCATATATAGAAGTATATGTTATGTAAAAGCTGTTTTGCAATATAGATGGAAGTTAGGTTTGAGCTACCCTTTGACAAACATAACAAGGACATGTAATGCTATAGTATATTTTCAAAAGCAAATCATTATTGGTTGTATCCCCTACTTGTATTCAATTATCAAATTACCCTGAAACAAGAATTAAAAAAAAGTTATGTTGTTATGTTAAAAGGATATCAGATATTGGTTATAGTAATACTATCATGTTAAAAAAAATTGTAGATGGTGGTTCCTAGATCTGATCATGCACCCCTCATGTCTTCATCTTTCTCTTTTTTTTATCGTCAGCTTGGCTTCAGTTATTCTCTGCTGACCTCTTCTAGCTTGCATATATTAGTGGACAGTTATGCCTGTGAGTATTTTAAAATGTTGGCTCTGTCCCCAGTATCATTGCAGGAGGCCCACAAGGTTACCATGCAAGGATACCTGATCACATTGGAATCCAGACGATGAGATCTAGACAAAAGATTCAGCTCTGAAGCACCATTTTGAAGGCACAAGTGTCCACAATAAAACTGAGCTACATGTTTTGAATGTTTTACTTGACTATGAGACTAAAAAAAATTAGCAATGGGCCAAGCAGAAGATGTATGTTTGATTTATCAAATCAGATGCTATGCTAACAAGGAGGTTGAACTCCTTGTCAGCAAAGGCAGGAGGGAGGAATATACAAGTATGGTGAGAGAAAGAGCTCGGCTTAGACAGGAGGAGACAGCTTAAAGACACAGAGCAATGATAAACAAGTGATGGTCACAGAGAAATAATAATAAATCAAATAGTGTAACACAACAGGTTGATATTAAAGTTTTAACAAAAAAACTGACCCAGAGAATTACCACTTTTTTATCCTTTATAATTATTTGTGTTCAGGTTGGATTTGTTCCATAGAGGCCACTGATAATGTGCAAAGAAATACATTTGATCCTCGTCTTGAATTCTAGATGTATTCCTGAGTTTTTATTTTCTTTAGATTTACAACATGCTTTTGACTTCATTTAATGGGACTATTTGAAATATATTTTGACCAAATCGAGCTTTGGGGATTCAGTTCTGAAATGGGTCTCAGCCTTGTGCTCAACCCCAACTGCTCAAGTTAAATATATGGGATCTTGCTCTTTGAGAAGTGTTGCTTAGTATGCTTACCAGTTTACCAGTCAGCTAGGGGACATTGTTGGCTTTAAGTATCACCTTGTCTCTGCAATCTCTGGCTCACCTCAAAAGCAACTTCCCTTATCCTGGCCCCCATTGAAATTCAATACTTAAAAAGTAACTCCAATTTTGTTGAGAAAAAAAAACATCCCCCCTGGGTACATTGCAAGGATTTTAACAAACTTTATGGCAGATTCCAACCTTTTGTGATCCTAAAGAAACTGCTGTTTGTCTGTGTCCATGTGCAAAATGAATGCAAATGGGAGTAATTTGTTTATTATCAATCAGCTGCTGCACTTGCAAGGTTCTAATGAGGAAAGTTGCAGGGTCTGCATCCATTTAGACACGTTTTCTCCTTTGGAGTATCTCATCAAAAATGAGAGGATGCCCAAAATCTGACATGTATGTCAGTGCAGATTTCTGAGAAACTTAGTGAGCCAATCACAAAAGAAGGAAATTAAATTTCTGGGTGGGGTGTTCTATACACCATCTGTGTACAGAATGCTTCCAGGTTGCCATATTGCATTGCATTTTACAGAAAATGACAGTGTTGCAGATTGAAAAGGAAAGGTAATTTTATTAACATTCAATTACAATATAAATTGTGTGGCATTTTGTATATGCTATAGTATTCTTTTTTATTTGCAATTTTTTTCGACAAAAAAGTTACCCTTTAAAGGTTAAGTCTATATCTTCCTATGACATGTTATACACAGCTAACTGTATTCCCATGTTTCTCTCTCTGAAATACCTTCTATGGACTTGGTTCACGCAAATGTCAGCATGCTTCGGGAGAGTGTCTGCAGTAAAGGTGACCCTATTACCCAAGCTTTTATACTATTTCAGAGCTCTACTTGTCACCATTCCTTAAGACAGATTAATTCTTTATTAAACCCTGGATTCCTGGGGCTATTTTCTATAAGCAAATAGGAGAAGGGGGTATACTATTCTTTATTATTGTCATGTTGCTTAGCCCTTGATTACTCTTCTTTGAACAACAACCCCCCTTATAATTTTTCCTGGAAATCTCAAATTCACATCCCATTATCTTGCAAGCACTGCTGCTCCATCACAGACCTAAGGACCTTAGCCCATACTGTAACTAAAGTTTGGTGATTTCCACAAATATTCCTCAGGCCTTCTATTTGCCTCTGCAGCCACTTTTTTTGCAACCCCTTTTTTTGCTTGGTTTTTCTGATCTTAGATATTATTTGTATGGTGGACATCTCAGGGCTATCATATGTCACGTTTTACAACAGTCCACCAAAATTCCCTGATAATATGTTCGATGACATAAGAAAGCTCCGGCAATGAATTATACAAATACAGCATTGAATTTCTACCCTTCCTAAATAAAGGGAAGACGTAAAGCCCATGACTTGCCTAAAGCAGGACTGTCTAAATACTCCAGGGAGTCCCAAACTGCTTATGTTTTAATATGCACCAGTGAATAAATATAACCACCATATATATATGTTAGTAAATAGGAGATGGACCTTAGACTAGAAGAGGAATGGCTCTTGATCTAGAATAATCTGGCCTCCTATTCTCTTAACATCACTAACGCAGTAGTATATGCAGACTGGGGCGGACTGGCAACTCATGGTGCCCCCAGGCAATAGGGGATCATGGGGCCCCTGTGTCCTTGCCCAAACTCAAAAACGCCTATGAAAAAGGTACCAGAGGCTTCTCATGGGGCCCCCTACTGACCCCGGGCCCTCAGGCAGTGCCCAAGTTTCCAAATGGTCAGTCCGCCCCTGAGTATATGGTTCCCTAGTGCTCCTCTCACCTAAATCCTTAATTTTCACACAAATGCTTCCAGGGCTGTGATGCTGAAGGAGACATGCTACATATTTGGTGGACGTGTCCATTTGCCAGCACATTCCTCAAAACATCTTTTTGCAAGGACATTCCCACAGATCTTGGGCAGGCTCCCCTGAATTGTAACATTGATCTTCCGATTAAGAAACAGCAAATGCCAACAACAAAAAGTAAAAATGCCAAAAGAACTGACTTCCATGCTAAAATAAATATTTAAGTATACCAGTGCTTCCCTCTGCACCCTACCCTCTGGCCCTCTTTTAGCAATGCTCACCTCTGCACCCTCCTATGTATTCCTCTTCCACCAGTGTTCACCTTTGAACCCTACCCTGTGCCCCTCTTTCATCAATGCTTACTGCTGTACCCTCCCCGTATCCCTTCTTTACCAGTGCTCACATTTGTACCCTCCCTTGAGCCCCTCTTTCATTAATACCCATTTCTGCATGCTCCTTTATGCCCTTCTTTCATCAATGCACACCTCTGCACCTTCGAGTGTACCCTTTTTTTTGCTAATGCTCAGGTAGGCACTCTCCCATGTACACCTCTTTCACTACTTCTCAACTATGCACCCTTCCCTGTACCCCCATTTTTTCACCATTGCTCACCTGTGCACCCTACCTGTGCCCCTATTTCACTAATGCTCACATGTTTACCTTCCCTTGTGTCCTTCTTTCACCAATGGTCAACTCTGTATCCTCCCATAGTCCCTATTTTACTAATGCTCATCTCAGCACCCCATGACCCTTCTTTCACCAGTGCCCATCTCTCACCCCCCCCCCCCCCCGCACTTCTCTTTCACAAATGCTTACCTTTTCACCACTCTGTACCCCTCTTTCAACAATACTTGCCTCTGCATCCCCTATATCTCTCTTTCAGCAATGCTCACCATATCAACACCCCAATACCCATAACACTGCTCAACACTTCCACTACTGCACCCTGTCTGCTCACCTGTTGCTGCAAATTTTAATCTAGGCAAACTGTAATGTAGGATATAGGCAGTCCTAGAGCAAAATCATGCAGTAAGAGTATAATCCTGTCCACAGACCCACACAGAAGGAAAACCCATAATTTAGTTGTAGGGCTGTTTGGACTTCCAGGTTTGCTAGTTAGTGACCTTTATGTTGACACTGTACTAGTCCCCTTCAGAGGGTATGTGCAGTGTAGAAATACCCGAAATTGATTTCTTTTGAGGTGCACATACAAGTGAGAGGTGTGGCTGCAGCTCAAAGGGTGGCATTGCTGCCCCAAACAATGTGTACAGTTAGTGAGTGCACAGTGGGCCCCATCGACCTTGGGGTTCATATACACTGCAAACATTAAGAATAAGCCACTGGCTGTGACCCAACTGTTTAAAGACAGTATTATGTGATACCTTGGAATGCCAACAAGCCATATTTTGCTCCTAATGTGAATCTCTGTTATATAAGGTGTGAGGAAACTAGTGCTATCAAACACACAATGGTATTCTCTACCTTGTAACAATGTTACCAAACTAATTAGTAGGCCAGTGGGTAAGACTCTTATCAGTCACAAACCAGTTAGCAGTCAAACATTTCAGTCTACAATGTGCAGCACATTTTTACTGTGTACATACAAATGTCACTGACAGACAAGCCTCTGTTCAATGAAACCATTATGAATCGTAATGCATGGATCGTTTAATGCATTCTCTGTGCAACATAGGGTGAAGTGCCACAATGTAAGTCCAAATATATCAGTTTAGATTCAAGCTCCAGGTAATGGAGCATTTATTGCGACCCTGCAGCATTTCCCTCTTTGTAGCTGGGAGCTCAGTATGCACTGAGATGCAGACATTCTCTTTAATCACCATTAGTTTCCTCCTGTTTCATGTACAGAAAAAGTGTCTGAATCAATACAAGTTGTAAAAGAATTATAGGCATGGCAAGTGAACGGTGTTACCTTGACAACTCGCAATGACTTTACCAAGTATTTCAAAATAATTGAATTCACTAAGACAACCAAATATATATTTGAAAACAAATAACATAACAGTAAAGTCATTACAAGATGTGCGCCTGGTGCTTTAGTTAAAAAAAACAAGTAAATAAAATAATGGTTACAAAGTTATTTTCAAATGGCCTTCATCGTTAAAACAACAGAATGTTGTTTTTCCTGAAAGATAAAAATGCAATAAAAATTAAAATAGGGATTAACTAGAACACATTGGAGGATATTTACTAAAACTGGAGAGTGCAAAATCTGGAGTAACTTTTCATAGTAACCAATCAACTTCCAGGTTTTATTGTGAAAGCTTACTTAAACAAGCTGAAGTTAGAAGCTGATTGGTTGCCATGCACAGCTGCACCAGATCCTGAGTACTCCAGTGTTAGCAAAAATCCACCATAGCAATCCAAATGACCACAACGTAAATAATAAGGAAAACCTGTCTTAAGAAAAACATGGAAAAGCAGACATTGCAGAAACTACTAGATGCTTCAGTAGTTTATATTTTCTTTCTTTATGGTTTTTTTAAATTATTTTTTTTTTTTTATAAAGTTACATTTATCAATACATGCTAATTTTTTTTCCAAGGAAACGTATGTTGAGAGAAGTTTGACACTTTTGCATTTTCTCCTAGTGCATTTTCTATTGAAATTAATGGAAAAGGGTAAAAAAAACCACATGTTAATGTGTGTTGTTGTGCATATTTATTTATTTATTTTATTGTATCTTTCATTGGATTTTTTTTTTTAAATATAAAAGAAAAGAACATCAAATATACACATATCTAGGTAAATAACCAAAGCCATAACAAGCTTCTCCAATGCATCCCAACAACCCCATATCATAATTCCCCTACTCCCCTCATCCCACCCCTTTGCCCACCAAATTCCCTAAAACCAATGCACTTTCCTAGTTCCTAACCTTTTTCATCTTTATCAGTCTATATCTGTATTCCCTTCCTCCTAGCTCCTTTTCTCTGTGGGCCATCCTTAGCAACTCCCCCCCATACTCATTTACTTCATTCCCAGCAGTTCATAATATCTTTTAGTTGTTTTAAAGACCAACCACTTACTCCATATTCTCCCAAATTTTGCCACTTTATCCTCCTCAGTAAAACACAGCTCCTCCATTCTGTAAATATTATTTACTCTATTTACCCAGTCATTCATACTTGGTGGGTCAGGAGCAAGCCAAAACTTAGGGATCAGGCCCTTAGCCGCACTAATCAGATGGTATAGTACCATGTCCTTGCGTAGTTTTGTCAAAGGTTCAAATTTATATAATAAACAAATCCACGGATCTCTCTGTATCGTAGTCCCACAAATTTCCATAATATATTGTAATACTTCCTTCCAATATTTCCTACCAATATTGGAAGGAAGATGCTTCAGTAGTTTGAGGACAGATAAAGTCTTCTCTGTATGAAAACAACCCCCCCCCCCCCCCACACACACACACACACACACACACACACACACACTATTCAACTACTGCCCAGGTAAAACACTTGTGCACTGAGAATGGATAGAAAGAGATGCATATCAAAGGCAGTCTTTGCCCCATGCCTCCCATGGTTCATAATATGCCACTGGGGTCAGACAGAAAAATATCTTCACTCCAGTCTAAATGGTAGCAAAACGAAATGGGAGAATTCTTATGCATGTTTCAGTAATAGTCAGAAAGTTACCAACACGAACTGGACAATATTAACCAGGAGCATAGTGTGTGGAATGCCAGCATGATAGTGGAAGGGGTTGTAGTAACTGCCCAGCCTACATCTAGTGCAAATTGTCTCATAAATCCTAGAGAGCCCTTGTGCAGCTACACAGTCTGAAAAAGGCTTATACCTATCCCTATGTGAGTCTTTTAGCTGGAACACATATGGAAATAGTTTTAGCCCAATCTCTGAGCATGTGAAAACATCTGCACAATCTCCAAGACAGCTTTCCACTCCACTGAGTCTGGAGCCTCCGGTATTCTGAGAGAAGCCATTGGCTATACGGGAAATCTTGCTCACTTCTAGTCGGTCTTCAGAGACAAGTTGTCAGTCAGAACTGTTAACCAAATACCTCAGGCATACTTTGAGCCAGTGACTAAAACCGGGCTTCATTGGCAATCTGTCAGCTGCTCACTGCAGAGAGACCCTCAGCCAGTTACCTCAGAGAAACTCTTCACCAGGTATCATGGGCAAGTGATCAGCCAGTCACCACAGACAGGGCATCAACCAGTTACCTCAGAGAAACTCTTCACCAGGTATCATGGGCAAATGATGAGCCAGTCACCACAGACAGGGCATCAGCCAGTTACCTCAGAGAAACTCTTCACCAGGTACCATGGGCAAGTGATCAGCCAGTTCCTACAGACAGAGCATCAGCCAGTTACCGGAGAGAAACTCTTCACCAGGTATCATGGGCAAGTGATCAGCCAGTCACCACAGACAGGGCATCAGTCAGTTATCTCAGAGAAAGTCTTCACCAGGTACCATGGGCAAGTGATCAGCCATTCCCCACAGACAGGGCATCAGCCAATTACCTCAGAGAAACTCTTCACTAGGAATCATGGGCAAGTGATCAGCCAGTCACCACAGACAGGGCATCAGCCAGTTACCTCAGAGAAAACTCTTCACCAGGTATCATGGGCAAGTGATCAGCCAGTCACCACAGACAGGGCATCAGCCAGTTACCTCAGAGAAACTCTTCACCAGGTACCATAGACAAATGATCAGCCAGCCACCACGGACAGGACAGCAGTCAATTACCTCAGAGAAACTCTTCACCAGGTACCATAGGCAAGTGATCGGCCAGTTATTTCATGCAATATATCAATCAGTTACCTCTGGAAAACCTTTCTACTAAGTACTTTAGACAAGTTGTCAGCTGGTCACTGT